AAAGAAACAGTAAATAAACTTGAGAAATAATGAATATCTATAAAATCTTTGTAGGCAGTCAGCCATGTCAATTGGTTACACAATGTGACCAACATTTCAGGAAACCATCTCCATCCCCATCATCAGAGTTCTGATCAGAATATCAGAACCCTGATGGTGGGGATGGAGATGGTTCCTGAAACGTTGGTCACATTGACATGGCTGATTGCCAAGTTTAGTTGCCACGAAATGTCTTCATTATGGTAATTGTGATTTTCCTTATGAATCAGGTGTTCTGAAGAAGCTCATAGGTTGGACTGCTGAGCATGCCATCAACAGGCAGCAGTTTGGTAAACCGTTGGCAGAGTTTGAATTGATTCAAGAGAAATTTGCAAAAATCACATGTCTGACTTATGCAATGGAGAGCATGGCTTACCTAACTGCTGGGATGTTAGACACCTATGAAAATCCAGATTGTGCTGTTGAGGCTGCTATAGTGAAGGTAAAACATATGATTTAATGTAATTATGAAGTTGATAATCAACAGAAAATAATAAGTATAACTGAATGATAAATATCTTCTGTCAGGACTTACTTTAATTTTTTATAAATTTAAGCAAGATGAATAAATGCTGAACTTTCTTCACCCTAATAAATCAATACAAATGTTTTAATTTCTTTTTCATATCCTACTATGAACATTTCATTACTGCATAATAATTTGATATTATGAAAATTTATCTTTAAGTGATATAATATGACTTCCCTTGGCATACTTAAATGTTCAGTGTAACAGTATTAAAAATTTATGGTCATCACTAAAGTATAATAAATGTGAAATGTTACATTTATGCAGTGCATAAGACTGAATAACCCACAAACATTTTAATTAATTATAAAAATGAAATTGTAGGCCATATGATATTCAATTTTCCGTAGGATCTTGAGAAACCAAGCTGGCAACCCACTTGTATAGGTTCTTCTTTGAACAGCTGGTTTGATGAGAAATAACAGTATGAAATTTAAGGAAAAAATATCACTAAGACATGAATGTTTTAAGTCCACAACTGGAGGTTTGTTAGAAATAAGTTGTGCATATTTTCCAGTATGGACCAAAATTAAAATTATGAGATTCGAGTGTCTAACATTTAATGATTATAGTGCCTTTTTTCTCTCCCACTGTGATACATGTACAGTACTTGAGTGACAGAATTAGTTATAATTTCAGGTGTTCAGTTCTGAAGGCTGCTGGTATGGTGTCAGTGAATGTCTGCAGATTCTTGGAGGAATGGGGTACATGAAGGACTACCCATATGAACGCATCCTCAGAGACTCCCGCGTTACTATGATTTTTGAAGGAACAAATGAGATTTTAAGAATTTTCATCGCATTGATGGGTACACAAATTGTTTTCTATTAATTATATATTGTTTATTCAATAACACTGCATCATCTGTAGCTGTTGTTTAATGTAAAATGGGGAAAACTGGACATCATAGTGAATTAACCTGGCTCTTGCCTGGTTAGAGAATGACAGAAACCATGATATAAGAGTATATTGAAAGATGACTGCACATGATATGTTCTGAAATATTTCATGCTGAATTGTGTATAAACAGTTTCAAAATTGTTTAGTGAAAATATATGAACATTTGATTTGCAGGAATTCAGTATGCTGGAATAGAATTGAAAGAAGTAACAAAGAAGATGAGGAATCCTCTTATGAATCCTAATTTTTTCTTTTACACAATTTGGCAGAAAAGACGGCAAGTTAATGATTCACCGACATTGAATCTGGGCTTGGATGGATACCTGCACCCTTCGTTACAGGTACTGACTGCTTTCTTTCCAATAGACAGGCAAATATTGTGTTGGTTAATAACCAGGATCTCGTGTTTAACATATGAAAACTGAAACCTTATTTTTTTTCAGGGATCAGCAAAATTACTGGAGTACTGTGTCTTGCGTCTGCAGTATGGGGTAGAAACTGTCTTGTTACATCATGGTAAAGCCGTCATTGACCAACAGATGATGCTCAAGAGACTTGCAGATGTTGCTATTGACATTTATGCTATGACTGCTGTATTAGGGCGTGCATCACGGTCATATTGCATTGGATTACAGAATTCAGCTGAAGAGGTAAGTAACATGCTAAATCTGAGATAGAGTAAATAAGTAAGTGCTGTAGTTACCAAATGTCTTGTAAGTTGCCCTCCGTAGTTCCAGGTCATGCTGGATTTAGCATGGTTAGATAGTGATTTAGTGGTCTGATGGTGTGGCAGTCATTTAAAGAAACACAGACTGAAAGGCCTTATGTTTGATGCTGGTTTATCAAATACAGTATGGCAAAAGCTGAGAACCCTTGCTCTATTATGTCTTCCTTGGTATGTCTCACCCATCGTTATTGTTGATACTGTTAACGTTATATTTCGTTGTGACCCATTGCTAGAAGTGTGGAGTTAATAGAATAGCTGCTGCTGCTGCTTTTATATGTGTGTGTGCGCGCGCGCAGCACTTTTTCCTCTTTGCTGCTCGCTTACAGTCAGTCATGCATGAACATAGAGATGTTTTATCTGGAGCTTGAACATTTTATATACAAAGCTTGAGAAAGTATTCTCTTTATTAATTCCTCATGAGATGTGTATTGGTTGAACTCTTGACTTCACTACCACTACATAAAATTTTATGCACCTCAGGACATTTAATTGATGAGTCAATGCTTTGTAGCCTTGGTAAGTTTGTACAGATATATGTAAGTAATTTCTTAGTGCAGGATCATCCTTGAATAAGTTTGGAAAGGTGTACTCTTTTCAGTACCCTGACATTCCAAAGACATTCTTCATGCCACATCACATTCATTATTGCAATAATGTCTTGTAAGTCATTGTTAAGCAACAGTGTCATTAGGTCGTTGCTTCTCAGTGATCTGAGGTCATTGTTGCACTAATAGTCCTAGGCCATTGTTATACAATGGATAAGAATTTACATAGTGGATGTACTCCAAATAAGAAATTAGAAAATATCTATAGAATTAATAGAATTTTACAATGCAAGTCACATAGAATAGACAGAATTGAATATTATACTTGTATTGCATTTGGATGCAGTGTACAAAATGTTTGTAATTTATAAGCACACTAATTTTTCCTTTGTTTTGAAGTCTGTAGTCTCATCTTTGATTTAAGGTCATATTGTTCTCGGTTAAATATGGAAAATTATGCAGTTATAAATTTTCTAGAACAAATTGTTCTGCTTTCAGATAACTTTGGCACATACATTTTGCCATGATGCTTATATTCGAGTAAAGAGGAACATTCTTGACATTGATGATGGTCCAGTAATAAACAATGACTACAATTACAAGAAAGTGGCAAAACAGGTATTCAAGAGCTATGGATACTTTGCAGAGCATCCACTTGCAAGAAATTACTAGTGCATATTATTTGTATGTGAAATAATTCTGTATTTGTACAAAAATAAAATTACAACTTTTATAAAGGAAGTGCAGAATATCATATTTATTAAAATTTAAATGTCACAAATACAGAGGAACTTCTTTTATGTGATTACTTGACTTTACCAACAGTTCTGCTGAAGTATTAAGACATTTTACTTCAACATCAATAATTTATCCATTTTATGAGAACAGTTTACAAAAAAATATTAACAGAAGTATGTGCATATAAACTGAACAGGTTGTTGAATGTTTGGCAGTAGTGTGTACTTAGAGGTAGAAAAGTTAAGTCTTGTCTGTGGACAACCAGGCTAGCCTAATAAAAGTTAAAGAACACATTTTTATGCAGATTCCTTGATGAGACTTTCCTTCAGGGGAAACATTTCATAGTACATTACAGTTAGCAGTTTTTACTGCTAAACCACACTATGTGTAGGGTGGTGCATAATTAATTATGTCGTGAAGCACAGGAGTATACTATGCGCTTTTCACGATCTCTTGGCTGAGATGTTTGTATCATCTTCAATCTTTTACAGAAAAATAAGTAACTCCTGTGTCAAGATTAGCTGTAGCTGTTCAGGTGTAAAAATGTCTGCATAATTTTCTTGGCATCAATGAAATTGAGCTATTGTTTGTGAAATAACATTTCAACAATTACTGCACACTGCTGGGCTGTACAATGAGTCTCAATAATTTTCCTAGTTTCAACTTTGTTTCAAAAAAATATATAAATAATAAACAGTGGTATTTTGAACCAAACATTAATCCAACATAACCCTGTACCTTCTTGCTCAACTGAGACATCCCTAACCTTACAGAAGTATTTTTGACGTAAATACGTCTATACGGAAGGGTCATTCGGCAAAAAAGCGTAACGAAGTTGTGTATGATCCATATCAACAATGTAAATATGGACCGATAACAATGGGCAGCTTTTATATGAACTCCTGTGTGGATTGTTATCTTACCTAAGAAACTAATTGTTGTGTCATCTGTTTACTCGGCATTGTGTTACATTACTGCCGTCAACAATCCGCTTTCGTTATTGCGGAAAGAGCTAAGCTGTGAATCGCTTGTAGAAGAAGTGTGTCATAGACTAGATAATTTTGTGCTGGTAAAAACGTTTTAGAATATCACAAGTACTTATCTTACATAAGATTTATTACATTTCATTACACAGACGTATTTACGTCAGATTCTCCGGAACCGTGGTTCCACTGTCAACTTTTTATACCTCCTATGTACCATCTGTTCTGAAATAACTGCCCATTTAGCTGAATGTGATTAAATTTATCCATAAATACACTTCCGAACACTTCACATGTGTGTCAATCCGAGGTAAAGAATCCATCAAGCGTAACTAATTCAAGTTAAATAAGCAATGTCTTAATCAAAATTATCTCAATTGTAAAGAATGTATAAAAGAAATATTTAGAATAAAGCCAATATATAAACTTCCTTTCCGTATAGACGTATTTACGCCAAATTCTCCGGAACCGTGGTTCCACTGTAACTTTTTGGTTCTGCTTTCTATCAATAGTATTTCCCCACAAATATTTTCTTGATTTTCTGTGATTTCATACATATTATATCGCTGATTCTACTATACTTGCGTTCGAAAACAAAGGTTTCGATATCGTTCGAGGTACATCTGTTCTTTTAATTCACGTCTGTGCGTTTGGCACAGATGTTTCGTTCCCAAGATGGCGGTTGTTTTGTTGGCGTAGACAACGTGGATTATGGGCTCAAGAGTTTGGATCTAGCAAAGTAAAAAGTAATGTGACATTTGCTTAATTCTGCCCTATTATGGAAGAAGTAACACAACACAGTTCTGCATAGTGTTATGCTTTTCTGTGTATTTGCAATTTTCTGATGAAATAGATATGCAACATGAGTCGTGTAATAGCACTTTCAGCATATATTTTGACAAAAATTTAAAAACATGCTGTTGGATGTCATTTTTGTGGTATCCGTCGTTTTAATTTAGATGGTTTCTTAGCTATCTGATGCATTGGATGGATGTAATTACGTCTGTCAGTAGAAATGTGAATGTGATTGTCCATTCCTGTTTTCAGATTTTCTTTATAGTTGTGTTTAATTTATGGAGTCCTTAAACAAGATTACGCATGGAGTGACTTTAGTAGAGTTGTATAATTTTGATGTGATTTCTGATGTGTCTATTATATGTTGCTGAAGGTGGAAATATTGGTGTGTAGAAGAAAACTTCCATAATAATTTGCTTCATGGCATGCTGATGGTATACTTGTTACTTGAACTGCAGCATTCCTAAAACTCTGTTTTAAGAATAAGAAAATTTAACTCATAAATAATTTATTATAACACACGTGCCTGTCTTGGGAAAAAAATAATTAAATACTGTGGGACAAACAAGCAAAACGCAAACCACTTCGCTAGCAAAATGGGTTTTGCTCCTGCACATTCAGAAACTCACTGTCCTCTTGCTGGAATACATTGTTTAAATCATGGATAATTTGTGTGAGTGGCATGTGGCATCTGCTCCTCATATTAGCTGATCAGAGGTCTCTAACTGGGCAACTTTGCATGAATCAGAGTGAATAATTTGCAACAAGTGAACTTGCCTGAAACATCAGGTGATAGAATTCTATTCCAGTTATCCATTTCATGCATAAATATATATTCTTTAATGTGGTGTTTTAAGCCATATGGTTTTTATTGCTGTATTGCATCATATTGTGTAATATCTTTAGTTCTGTAAAAGGAAACCTTGCAGTACACATTTATGTAAACTGTGTCATGAACTATAGTCCTTAAATGTAACAAAAAATATTTGTTTCAGTTTTAGTAGTACAGCTAGATGTCTACTGGTGGGTGGTGTAAGATAAACTATTAACTCATTTTTGATCCATTCCAGTGTTTGGGCCCCATGTGATGGAAGAAGAAGTTTTACAAAACTTGGAGCCAAAAACAGATGTAGTTTCACAACAGCATGTAAGTTACATCAAATGACTCTCCTGCTCAGTTATTATGGGAACAAGAATGTCTTGCAAATTGTCTGTAGTATCTGTCTTTGCTATAGCTTTCGTCAAATATTTGGTGACAGTATTAATTTGGCTACTATTTACCAGTTGTTAATGATGATTTAACTTGAATACTTTAATAAACATATATTTCTGTCTAAGGAGTTTCAAGGGATACAATTTTTACTTGTGTAAACAGACTGTCAACAACTAACATACATTTCTGTATTAAATGAACTACCAGACTGATTTAGATAAAAATTACAGATAACATAATACCACTTTTTATAATGCACAGTGGTCTCTTCTATGTGCCAGAATTGTTATGTCCATGAAGGAGGATTGAGCAGTTCCCTCAAGAAGCTGACTGCAGTGATAACTTTTATGTCTCCTAGTAACAGTATTTGAAATTTTACAATTTTAAGAAAATGCCATTGATGGAATTGAATCATAAGTCCCCATTTCCACAATACTGTCACTATTTGCACTGAATTTTCACAGCCATTAAGCCAATTCCATTCCATGTTTCTCCAAAACATTGGTGTCTTCCTATAAGTCCACTTTGATTTACAACTCTTGGCATGTGAAGGAAAATTGACATTAAAGTAGGAGAGGATTTTTAGAGATTTTATACACAGAACGTTAGAAGCAGAGCTGAACAGCCGAAGAAGGTACAGTTAAGTGTTGATTGCAGGCTCTTGCTTACTTGGAGCAGCTGAAGAATTCTGAGACTGGATGGCAGTTTTGTATGAGCACATTAACCAGGGGGATGACTCAGGATAACCAACTCAGATTCTTCTGCTTTCAAGTGGTTGAGCATTACATTAGGAACCATTATAACAATGAGAACCTGGCCGACCAGCAACGTGTGCGTGAATTTCTTAGCCGCTGGATTCAACTACAGGTATAACTCAACTTTTCAAGGAAAATTTCTGTGCTGTTAATTAGTCATTAAGAATTAACATCTCTTGTACTCTGTGGAGTCTTGCTATATGGTTGAGGAGGACATTTTAAATCATTTTACCTCATAGATCTTGATTTACATCTTTGTCTAAAGTGTCTGCATACAAACCTCATTCAGACTTGAATTATACTAAACACGGTTGAATTGCTATCACATAAAAATATAAATGGTAGAATCATAAGTGGATAGAAAGAAAAAGTTTAATGTAACTATTTCTACAACTGATGAGATCTATTCTTACTTGCAGTGCACACAGCTTGGGAGACAGGAAGCAATATTTCTGCGTAACAAAGCAGCCCAGGTTTTTGCCCTTGTGTTTGTCCGTGATTATCCATTACATTGGACTGACTTCTTTGGTGACCTCATTAAAACTTTGAGCTTTGGACCCCAAGCTGTAGATATATATGTAAGAGTGCTCAAAGCTATAGACAGTGAGGTATGTATATATTGCTGCATCTTTGTTATTTTATAGAATGCTTGCATTTATTTGTACAGTGTTTCTGAACTGTGTGTCATAAATGATAGGGGAGCTTCAGGTCATGGATATGAGTCAAAAAGGTTCAGTGAACACAGGTCTGGAAATGCTCCTGTAGAAGTTTGCAGAAAATAAGATTTCAAGGGTATATTGCTTCATCATCTCTAAAATGCAAATGCTTGACTGAGGGAGTATTTACTTGTTACACATAAGACTACAAGTGCTCAGAATTCCCTCCGTGGAACACACATCAGCTTGTCAGAACAAGGTTTATGTTCAGTCACCCCTGATATCGAACAAATTTTGTTTGCTGTATCTTGTATGCATTGCCAGATTTGCTGTCTGGTGTCAGTGGTGTTGGAATAAACCACGTTTTCATGAAACTCCATGAGTAAATGTCCGTCCAATTAAGGTCTGGTGACCATGGTGGTGGAACCTTGGGCCCACAACCAGGTCAGCATCCATGATAATGCCTGCCTATCCACTTATATGCAGCTGGACTTATATGTTCTGTATGAAAACTACATCCATTGTCTTAAGCACAACAAAACATCCTTCAACAACTAAGGTAAATGTCTGTAGCAGAATTGCAGGTATCAGGGACTAGTAAGTTTTACTGGTAAGATACATGGACAAGTGGGATGATTTTCAGTGATTCCTGCCCACACATTTAACATCTTTGTGCAACATCCTGACTGAACCAGCCTAGCAACATAATGTGTTCTTGAACTTTTATCTTCTGTAACATTTTACAGAAGAATTTCTGGACCTGTGTGTATTGGATATTTTTTACTCATGCTGACACTGAAGCTCACCTTCTGTTTATGATGCATAATTTAGAAACGCTGTATAGATTTGGTAATTAAATTATATGTTAAAACTGAGTTTATCGTTGTGAAAAATTGTTTTTATCATTTCTTTTAAGATCTGTGTATTTATGAGTCAAAGAAAAATTTAGAGTAAACTAACACACACATTTTATCTTTATCCAAATGTGCATTGCAATATTTTTTAAATATTTATTCAACACTTTAAGGACAAGGATGAACATAAATTTATGTACAGTGAAACCACTATTTGACATTTCTTTGGAGGGAGCAGGAAATTGTATTTAAACATAATGTAGAGTGAAATCTTGAATGGAGGACATTTAACATTGGTAGTGGGCCCATTGAAGTTGAACTTCAAATTAAAGTATGGTACTTATTTCTACTCCCCCCATAAATCTGCACGGCATGGTGCTTAGTTTAACACCAGTGATCATTTTACCTTTATTGTGGTTGCAACTGGAATATCCATCGTAACAGTATCCATTTTTAAATATGTCCATATATGATAAGAAATTAATAAGTATTTTGTCTTTGAGGTGGCTGACCAAGATATTACTCATACACATCAAGAGATAGAGAGAAATGCTGCAATAAAAAATGCTATGAGAGGAAGCTGTGTAGAAAAATTGGTTGAATCATGGTACCACATTCTTGTGAGTATTTTAACTTGGTATCATTAATCTCAGATTTTTGATTTTTACCATAGTTATTGAACTTTTGATTTGTGAATGACAGTTGTCAAATCCTGTTTGGAGGAATGGCATCCTAAGTAACATGTTACATTTTATAATCCCCTTCTTCCCTTTTTCTTCATGTTACAGAAGTTTGTAATGGGCATAATTGTGGCAGATGTTACATGTCCTATTGGGTTACCATGAAGTGTAGTCAGAGCCCAGTACAGCCCCTTTATACCACCACCTTCATATTATGCCCACAAATGCTTGGAACATTTACAATTGTAATATCTAAGGAATATACTAATTAGATACCACCCTGCTATCTGTCAACGTCTGTGGCAATACAAATATACTGTTAAGCATTACAGTTTACTCCCACATAACAAAGTAATCAGATAACAAATTTTCACTTAATAAACTTTCTCCCATTGACTATTATAATGAATTCTTCCTGCATAAAAATTTTTGTATGAAGTCATGCAGTCATCAGTTTTAGCCATTTAGAGTGCTCCTAAGTGGATTCAGTTGGCTTCAGCTATTCATTGATCCTTTTATGATTGTGTGGAGCTTGATTGCCTTTGTTTACATTGTTTTGGTTGTGAAAGAGCTATTGCAGACTTTGTGCTTCTGTTCAATTTTTATTTATGTTTCTATTAATCTTGATCTTTTGCCATGTTCTTATGAAATAAACACGGAGTATTTGATGTCTTGCTTTATGTCATGTTGATGTGCAGAAAGTGTTCATTCTTACTGGATATGCTAGTGTTAAAATTATTTGATGAATAATAAATAATGGATAATTCGAGTTAAGAGCTGAGATATTGAGTGTTTATTTACTTTAATGTGTAAATGATAAATTAAATTAGAATTCAGAAAACATCATTTAGCTTCGGACCATATTATGTCCACATGTCTTGAAACAGGCAGATGAACTTTCCTAATGTATGTCACTGATGCATTAGTATCTGATATACTTGGCAGGTTTTAAATATTGTGTTGATCTATTTTCTTTGTAAATTACATTGGAATCAGTGATGTGGGTTTGTTGACTTTGTATGATAGTGTTTTGTACCTAGATATCAACATTAGATTATTCCAGGTGCCTCTGTTCTACTAATTGATCTTGTTTTTGTAGTTGGAACAATGAGTTTATTTATATTTTAGCTGCTGATTTGTATTTTCAGAAAACTTATGAAACGAGCAACCCGGAACTTGTAAATCAGTGTTTAGAAATTATTGGAGCATATGTATCATGGATTGATATAGGACTGGTGGCCAATGCTCGTTTCATTGAGCTGCTTCTCTCCTTACTGTGTGTGGTTGAGTCACGGGAATCTGCTGCTGATTGCTTGCATGACATTATCAGCAAGGGAATGGAGCCACTGGACAAGCTGCAATTGATTGAAACTTTGGTTCCCGTCCTGCAGAGTTCTGGCATTCTGAAACCTCTTGAGGTGAAATTTAATTAGATTAGATGTATGTAAATTCAAGTCAATGTTATTTGGTGTACATGAACTCATAACAGATTTTGTTTCCTGCACATGAACTTAAAACTGCTTTATAACATTTTACTATTGTGGCAGTTTCTGTGATGTAAGACATTTTTATTTTCTTTGTTGTTTTAGTTAGTTAGCAATTTTTTTATTCAGTAACTGTGGAGCATATAAATATGAAGTTTCTATACCCTAAGCACCAGGACACTTTATACATAAGAAGACCTGAACTCATAGTTTTAAAAGAGATTTCTGTTCAGGCCCGGTTTGATTTTTGTTTTGGTCCCTTTACTGGTCTTAGGGTTTATATTTTGTTTTGCTTATATATTTCTTTACTGTGTACTTGTAATTTGATTATGCATTATAACTTGCATTTTTAACAGGGACATGTTTCAGAACTTCTGAACCAACTCCTGCTTCTATTGTGTAACTGAGTGGTATGACTGAATGCAGTAACAAACTAGTGCTGGGCACTGTACTACGGTTCTCATTTTCATCACTCCTTTTTACTTTAGTAAGGCATGATGGCCATTTCTGTGTTGGCTACAGAGTATAGTTGTGTAACTGTAGAGTTAAGTTTGTTTTGTTATTTTCAGGATGATGAGACTGATTTTTCATGCAAGCTATCACATTTGGTGAATGGGATAGGACTCAATCTAATTGATGCACATAACAAGTGAGTGTTATGAATTAAAACAGGGTTTTTAACATTGACTGAATATGTGTAGGAAGACTGAAGGCTAATATCCTTTTAAGAATTGATCATTTAAAAAACAGTGTATGCCAATCCACAATTATTTGATTAGTTATATATTGATTTTTTAAACTGGCAATTTTCAGGTTTTGAAATTAACATCTGTATTTATTTAGACAATGTGAAGAGTTGTGTACACTTGAAAAGGAGTGGTCCTTCAGCTTGAGAGTTAGACAGGGAGGGTTAGTGGATTTTATGAAAGGCAGCTGAGGGACTATTAGGTTCTCGAGAAAGACTGCCATGGAATTAAGAAACAGACCTGAGAGAATGTTCTTAAGGTTTGGAAGTTTTACTCACATTAAATTGTGTCAAAATGTAGTCTTTAATATTTGTGTAGGCTATCATCCAAGTATACCTTTTGAGACCTGCTGTTCTTTTTTTAGACTATCAAAATCAGGATCTGTAGAGCAGGTTGCATTGCTGCAGAATGCAGTCGAGCGTAAAGTCCCAATTATGATTCAGTTCCTCAGCAATGATTATGATGATGTGTCTGCAGAAGTTCTGGAGTTTGCTAAAGAGTATATCCATGTGAGTATTATTTGAAATTTGCTGTTATTTCTCTGTGACATTAATCTTGACATTCCTTTATTTTTTAATTTAAAAATTGTTTCGTTGCTGTATACAAATGATGTCAATACTTTTGTGAAAAAAGGGCTAGTGTCTCTTCAGTAATTATTTCTACTTGTCATAATTAGTTATGATGAGTTTACTACTTACTTATTTCTTTTAACTAATTGATTATTGTACATAAGCAAATGAGTCAAGTCAAAATTGAGGTTAATTCCTGTTTGTATAGAATCCAAAAGATGTATCTAAACATTGTTTGTAGATAGAGGTAGCAATCTGATTACTGTGTCTAGCACCTGTCGATTATGAGGTAGGGTATGTATACTTTTCCTGTCCAGTTATTTTAATGATTGAGCTTGTCAAGTCTGTTAATGGGTTTTTGTGAGGATGAAGGTGACTGCCTTCTGGGATGTTGTGCCATGCAGTCTTGTAGAAATTGACTGACATTTTAGAGGTGCTTACTGCCTCCATCATCAAACAGTCATCTTCATACTTGCTGTTGTGAGAACCTAAAATTGCACTTCTTGTGATGACATTGATGAACTTGCAAGAGGGAATTTCTGTACTGACAGATTTACCATCAGCTTTTGAAGAAAGACTTATCAATTCCTGAAAGAAGATTCTATACCATGTAATTCAACATTTAAGTACCATAATTTACAGTTTGTTTGATTGATTTCCTCCCTTTTCTTGAAATTTAATTCTAAAATAAGGAGGGTGAATGTACACACCGTTTCATTGCAACAGACTTAGCTCTCAGAACTAAAAATAATAATTTTATGAAAGCTTATGATGTATTATAAGTCTTACAGATGTTGCTGTTGAGCATATTTTTACAAAACGAATATGTAACCATTTTCGACTTAAAAATGAGTAATTTGTCAGTGTAAATTTAACTCTTATGCCCAAAACTGATACATTCTCTAGTACTGCCTGATGTATCTGCAGCCAACATTATTTATAATTTTGTCACCATTGTTGCTATTTGTGTGGAAGTTATTTCATAAAAAATTTCTTGAATAGTCCTTGCCTTGATTTCAAGTTCTTTTATTTTTAAATACAAAATTTATCAGGTGAAACTCACTTTCAGACATTTGAACTGTTCCTTGTCCTGTTAATGTTATTACAATATCTTTCTTGGTCTTAAAAATTTACTGTCTGTCTTTGTTGGGAACTGATGAATTGTAAAAATATTGATTACTAATCTCCTTACATTCTATAAATCCATTCTAAGAAATAAATTGAGAGCTTTCTTACCCTCACATTGCCTTCTTTTTTTTGTATACATTTTGAAGTATGCATCTTGTATTGGTTTGGTTTAACTCATATTTTTGAGTACATCAACCCTATGTATGTTCAGTGTGTTTATGTATGATGTTGAAAATCTTAAATGGGTGACATTTAATTTTAGGGTTATAAACTTGGAATATTAAATGAGGGATAACTAGTTGAATGTTAAATAAAGGTTTTACTGTAATTGTGACCCCTTCCTTATATATGTGATATGGATGCACTTTTGTATAGTACAATGCTGCATGAATTTTAAGGTTAGAACATTACTTTCTTATTCTACCACAACTTCTCACTTCTGTTACCATCACCTTCTGAGTCAGTTTTCATAGCACTTTTTAGTTTTGTTACTTTAAATAAAAATACTTTAAGCACTGGGTATAGATACTTCCTTTAACTAAAAAGCACTTTCTTTAAAACTCAGTCATTAAATGTTATTGCCATTAATTAATTATAATCCTCAGACTTTTCCTCTGGTGTAATAAAAACTGCTTATTGTCTTGCACATATTTGTGGTTCTTAAACCTAAATCCCAACATATCATGTGCATTTTATTTCATGTTTTCTCTACAGTTTTAGTGTATAGTTTATTATTTAGGAATGTAAGTCACATGTAAATGTATACCAGTTAGATCTGTTTTTTTTTTTGTTTTTTTGGGGGGGGGGGGTTGATAGACTTTAACTGCCAATTCATAATCTGAATTGTTACTGTTATGTGAGGTCTCTTCAAGTAAAATAAGTTGTAATGTCTGTTAACAGATGCTGAAGGCAAAGGTGATGCAAACAGAGGAACAGCTCGGTTATGCGCATACTCTTCTACTTACAATTGTGTACAAAATGAAGTATGATGAATCATATCGCTTTGAGCAAGAGGGGGAAGATGAGGCCACATTCCAGGAATTCAGGTGAAGATGTTAGCTGTATCATTCTGAGGCACATTTTGATTTTTGATGGAGAAGTTGAAGTAGACTGATAATTGCAATGCTTGAAAATTATGTTTTTACCTGGGGCAGGTTAATTTTATGAACTAGTGCATAAAAATTGACATGATTTTTCTGTACCATAAAACTCTGTCTATTCACTTACCCTCTGAACACCTTGTCCTGTTATGCTGCTGTTTTTGTTACTGGCAGGGTGATTTCTGTATGCACTCTGAAGACAAATCATGTTTTGGATCCAGATAAACTTAACATTTATTTTCCCCATGCTTCATTTTTAACTGTCACTGATGTATTTAGTATGAGACATCAAGAATTTATACCATCATAAATATTTGGAAGTTATTAGCTGCTCGGTCTGAGGCATCATCCAGTGATACGGATGCGCGCTGGTTCGAGTCACGGGGAAAGAAATTTCTCATGAGATTTTCAACCAGAGTATGGGACCGGTGCCAACCCAGCATCGTGAGGAAATTGGGGAGCTACAATGGGTAGCGTAATCCAGTCATGAAAACTAGCAATGGCTGGGGGTTCGTCGTGCTGACCACATGTCACCCTATATCTGGTTGGATGATCGTTCACCTCTGCTTAGGCATGTGAACATGAGGCCAGCAGTCGGCTTTGGCTCTCTGGAGCTGTTATGCTATGGATTATTATTATTATTTTTGATGGTTATGTAAATTGGTTTTATAGTTTCTTAACCAATAGACAATCCCAGGTTCGCGTTTCTGGAATTTTTTTTGTTTCCTTTTGTGGTCCTTTTTGGTGTTCCACAGGGATATGTTTTGGGTTCTCTACTTTTCAATTTGTTTATTGATGACATATGTCAAGTAATTAAATCATTCTAAATGCCTTCTATTCGCTGATGATATCAAAATTTTTCGTGCCATTAAATCTTCCGACTGCAATGTACTTCAAACTGACATTGACTCTGTACAAGGTTGGTGCACTGCTAACTTCATGAAACTCAATATTAGTAAAACTACAGTAATTTCCTTCTCCAGGAAAACCACTACTTAGATCTTTGATTACAAACTTTTTCAGTCCTCCATAACACGTACCGACACCATAAAGACCTGGGAATATTTATCGACTCTAAGCTCCGATTTCATAACCATGTTGACCACATATTTTCACATTGTATTAAGTTGCTGGGTCTTGTTCGCACATTAACCTTTTCGTTCTCTTCTCTCGATTGCCTGTATATGTTATATGTAACCTTAGTTAGATCCAAGCTTGAGTACGCCTCGGTTGTTTGGAATTCTATTACGACTACTGATGCCAACAAATTGGAACGTATCCAGCAGAAGTTTGCAGCCCTTTGCTATTATCGTTTCCTCCCCCAAGTGCATTACAGCTATGCTGTTGCGTTAGAGTTTTTAAAACTCCAGACCCTGCGTAAGAGAAGGCATTGTAGTGATGCACTGTTCCTTGATCAAAAACAGTCCTTCTGCTAGATGCGCATCAGCTGCTAATGTTGTCTGCAGGGATTTGGACATATTCGAGACGAAAATTGTCACACTTCTTCACATTCTATAATAGTATAATTTACTTAATTGATTCAAATTATTTTTACAAATATCCTAATGTAGTTAGTAGTAATTTTTTGTGTATTATGTTTTTATTGTGTTTGTGAGTTTATCTCTGTGCTGTATCTGTAATTTGCCATCAGGCTGTTGATACAGCACTTAAATAATAAATAATTGAATACACATATGCTATCAGTTCGCATGATTTGATTATATTGCATATGTACAGACTTCTATATGCAATCAAATTTATGACAGCTAAATACTTTTTTATTTGGTAGTAATTGGTTTGTTTTGTTTTATGCACATAGTTTTGTTCATTCATGTTTGATTTACTGGCTAGTATTATTTAATTTGTTAGCTGATGCTGATGCTTCTTTGATAAGGAAGCACAAAAGAAACACCATTTCCTTAGAAGGAGGACTTAGTGTACTATGGGACATTAACACACAATTGAGGACTCATATTTCTTTGGTGAATCATCTATCATTATCAGTATCAACTCTAAATATCATAGACAGTGTCATGTTGAATAAAATTCAAATAATTACTGAAGATAACAGGTTATTTTTGAAGTGAATACTGTACGTTACTTATCATGTGTGAAAACGTTTTGCCTGACAATAACAGAATAAAAATAAGAATAACATCAAAAAAACTTTCAGTTTCCCCCCCCCCAAATGATGTCTATACTACCATTGTAGGCACTCTTACCCTTGGGTTAACATATACAATTATGAGAGAGTATGCATCTCATAATAGGCACCTGTCAATGTCACAGTAGCAAAATGCTGGCAAGAATACCATACAGGATGTCCCTGACCACTCTAAAGCTTATATTAATGTGGTACTTAAATAATAATTTTCTGAACATTCTACACTGGAACCAGGTATTTCACTTTTCTGGGGATTGATAAAAAATGGTGAAAACTCTGTAAAAGTGTAACCTGGAGGAGAAGCAAAAGTCCTAAGCTTAGTACTTACCTTAACCCTGAATTAGAATGTTCAGCAAGTGATGTAAGTAAATTATTAAACAATGTACAAACTTTTTACAACACATAATTCCCAGAAATTACATAAAAAATGTTAGTATCATGATGCAAGTTACAATAATTTGTAATTATAATTATGCATTCTTTATTTTCACCATTAACAGAGCTTTATCTTTCTGTCCAACTGTGCAACTAATATGTTTCTCTATCTTGAAATTTTCTCTGTCGTGCACAATTTGTAATTCTCTTTCACTAGGTGGATTTTTCTAGTATGGTGAAGTGTAAAACAAGATTGGTCACACAGTGCTAAGATTTAATATATTTTATACATTTCTAGTTGTGCTATCATAATTTCCTGTACTATGTAGTTTGGTGCACTAGTGAAATGAATGATGGTGATTGAAAATTGGAAATTCTTGCTGAATCTTATTGATCTGCTTTTTGTTTTCAGAAAGCAGTTAAAAGTGTTATTTGACAACTTGGCAGGGGTTAATAAAGAGTTGGTGATTGAATATGTGACAAAGTTCACAACCAACACACTGTGTGAATGGAGAACTACCTCCTTTGAAGATGTCGAGATTGCAATTTATTTACTGTATCTGATGGGTGAAGCTATTCCAGCATCTGGTGGCAACCATTTCACTGGTGATCATGTATGTTAATTTAAAGGCCATTTGTGCCTTAAATTATGACAGTTTTATAATAAATTAATACAACCAGATTGTTAGCAATCTTGATGCTGATTTGTTCTGTGTGTGAAACAGAATTTGATTGTAGGAATTTTATGTTTTTCTAGTTATAGAAAGAATGAGGTAATGGATCCAAGAATGGTGTATATTATGTACAGTCCAATTTTCTTTGCAGCTGGATTTTATATGTAAATGTGAATGTGTCATAAACTCACGTAAAATATTATTCGAAGACTCCCGCCAGTTTTTTGTTGTCGTTTAATACATGCCATAGAAGGCAATGAACTTCTTGATTAGCCCAGTGACAGTTAGCTTATCAAGGATTGCTGTGTAGAGATACGAGGTGCGATCGAAAGGTTTCCAGACTGCGCGTATAAAAACCCGTACACTTATCTCAGGTATTAAATTCATCCATCACCCTCGAAGTAGTTCCCCTGGGAGTGAACACAACGATCCCAGCGCCGCTGCCAAGCCTGGAAGCATCCCGGGAAATCTTTCTTTGTCAGCCTGTCAAGCACCATCTGCGATCTAACATCTAACCATCCCATCTCTCCTCCCCGAAGCGCTTTCAAGGCGTGTAGTGAGGATAGTAGGTGAATTTCATTTCGCTACGTATCGGACAACAAATATTCCTCAGAGTACAAATTGTAATAATCGTAATTCTCGTTAATATTGAGTACGTGGAATAATTAGACTGCATTAAAGTTCACCTTCATGTAACTCACTACAAGCAAGTGTGAACAGTTTGTACGCAATAAAATTTATGAGTATAGACACCGGAAAACATTTACTGTAGATCAGATTGTTGAAATAGATCTGTCTAAAAGACTTAACAAACTTGAAGATGGCTGTCTTCTGGGTTGTTGGGCCGTGTAGTCCGGTTGTAATTCGCCGACATGGTTACCTCCATCATCAGGGCGATGAGTACCCCCGATGATGGAGGCAGAAAATACCTCTGAAAAGTAGGTAAACTTCTACCAGACTACATTACGCAACAAACTATAAGACAGCCATCTTCAGACTCACCGCCTTGAAAACCTCAAATGCTACTGAAGAAATCTTCTCTTTTAATCCTGGTACAATACAGTATACTTTATATTTTGTGCTTTCCTAATAGTATGTTGACTTTTAGCTCTGGCTGTAGGTATGAAATTAATGCTGACTGGCTGATCATTTATTTTCCACATGCCTTTGTTTAAGGTGATAGAAAAGTTGCACAACCCAAAGATGATACTGTTTTTTAAGTATATACAATTATGATTATGACAATTTTAGTTTTTTTTAATTGTAATTATTGTTCTAAATCTTTTGCCTTGGTCATGTTCCTTGAATTTATGCATAATGTGTGTATGAGAAGGATGAAACTTCAGAATATTTGTTGTCTTATGTTCATGTCCATATGATGACCCACTTTGTTGAGTAAGTTTCTCAGATATTTGCCTGGAGATCGTAACATACGTTTATAGATGTTTGCCACAGATTCTTCATCCAACACTGAAAAGCGTTTGTAATGCTTATTTACACTTCTCTGCCACAGAAACATTCTTTTAATAAAATAAAATATTTTTAATTTATCTTGCATGGTGAATTAAGAAATTCAATCTAACAGACTAATAAAGAATGTGAAATTAGGCATTGTTCAATAGTAGTCACATATTGCACGTGTGAAAAAGACAGCATTTCTGTTAGGCTGTCTACACACAACTGGTGCAAACTATGAAAAATCCAGAGGTCAGGGATATTATGTGCAGTCACTAATGCTTCATGTATTTTTGTTTTGGATTCTTTGAACCATTATAATTGCTCTAATGGGTTTCATGACTTTTTGTTCACTCTGTAGCTGCATTCAATATTTAATCAGATTTATATATACCTCTAAAATGTTGACCAAGCTAAGTGATTCTGGTGTTCCTGGTGTACTAAAACTTAGTTAATCATATCCTTGAGATAATAAGATAGTATACATACATGGACCATCTTTTGTTGGGGTTTCCTTTGAAATTAAATCTGTAACATTTCAGACTAAAGTATCAGCCATGCAGACAATGATGCATACATTGGTTACTTGTGATGTGAGCTACCACCCACACCCAGCTGTTACACTGCAGTATGTTGAGACTGTTGTGCGATATGAGAAGTTCTTTAACACGGAACCAGAACACATTCCATATGTGTTAACATCCTTCCTTGACCAACGTGGTGTGAGGAACAGTAGTCCTCTTGTCCGCAGCCGCTGTTCTTATTTATTTTCACGTTTTGTCAAGTGCCTGAGGCAAGTATTTGAAATCAAGATTGTTTTAAAATTTATCTTTGGTTTAGTGTTTTGGTGTTTATGAAACTTTTTTGCTTGGTGTTACTTAATGAGTACTGCACAAGTGTTTTTTTTTCTGACAGGGGAAGCTACAAGTAATAGGTAGTAGAGCTGCTGTTTCCATAGTGTGTTTCTGAATCCCTTTAGGGCACACTAAATGATACAGAGTGTTAGTTATAATAATGCCTGTTGGTGGAATTTTTTTCTTTGCCAGTCTAAATTTAATTTTCCCTTCACTCCCCTGCTTTGGTTGTTTTATATTATTGTTATTATTTGTCTTTACAATAAATTCATTTCCTTTTAGAAGGGAAAATATTTGGGTAAAGCCAAAGATTTGTCTGTGTGGGGATAGACCAGGTCAAATTGGCATATTGAAGGAGAAAATTGGACAATAAATTGAGAAATTTTGAAACTGCAGAAAATCCCAAATGAATTTGAAGTGGTCAGGGCTGAAAAATAACTAACTAGATGACTTACAGAACCCGAAGGTTCATCACCAAATTGGCCAAATCCTCCTCCACCAGACCCTGTCCTGAGCCAACAAAATCCAGTCTTCAACTCCTATCTCCCATACATCCCACCTGATATCCTCCCATTTACATTTAGTCTTCCCTTCAGGCTTTCCGACCATTACCTGATGCACACCTCTTGCCCCCATCCATGCGCGCCACATTCCCCGCCCATCTCATTCTTCTGGACTTATCACCCTGACAATATTGGCGGAGGAGTACAAATTTTTAAGCTCATCATTATGCAATTTTCTCCACACCTCATCATTTTTCCTCCTAGGCCCAAATATCCTCCTCAACACCTTATTCTCAAACACATGCAATCTGTGTTCCTCCCTCAGAGTGAAATACCATGTTTTGCACCCATACAAAACAACAGGCAAAATTTTTATTTTGTGTATTTTAATCTTTTGGTTCTTAGAAAAAGGCTGAAAAACATGAACTTCAAATTAAATAATTTTGAATTAATAAATTTGTGTATAAGACGGTTCCTGCTGGTTATGGTATATGAAACTATTTTAATTAACATTATAACATACTGGCAATAAATACTGTTTCTGTGAGTAAAGTACAGGAATGTAGTTTTTATTGCATTGCCAGTTGCATGTAATTAAAATGTATGTACAAGGTTACATCTGCAACATATTGTTACTCTTCTCTAATATTTGTGAAAATACAAGTCAATAGAGGTCTACGTCAGGATGTCGTATGTTTTTGAAAGGAACTTCTGAATGTTGTCCACAGCTTTTACAATTTTAAATTGTTTAATTTATACCATCAGAATACCACTCAGCTTAAGTATGTAGAAATCTTAAATGTTGCAACAGACAGCATCACACCTTGTTCCTTATTTTTGAAGTCTTTATTTAATGTGGTCAAAGTATTTGTGGCAGTAATCCTCAGTACACAAGGACCAATGGGTTTGGACATTTGGTTACTGGACTGTGACAAGGTGCCAGTTGTGTGAAGCCACCATCCATGGGATTATAACTGAATGTGTAAGTTATAAATGTAAGGTGAATGGTGTTTTGGTGGTATAATAAACATTTCGGTAGTGAACAATGCAGACCAAGAAACTGTTGATTTTACAATTTTGTCATCAGCATGTATAAAGTCCAGAACTGAGGTACTGACATTACTACTAAACCTTGCTTATTCAATTGTTAAACTTGTTAATTTCTCATTTCTCAGGACCTCAGACCAGACTTAAATAAAACTATAATCTCTGTTCTTTCCTCTTCCAGTTACTAAAAATATAATCATATAAGATTTAAAGTTTTCGTAGCTTTCATAGTATGTATAAATACAATGTACAGCTGTGTCATCAGTCCACGATGATGGAGGCAGAGACAATCTCTGAAATATTGGGAACTGATTTTATACTCACAGCCAGTTGCCCGTTAAGATTTCATTAAACTTGTATTAAATCGCAGTGACTTCTAAGATGAATTTGTACTGGACAGATACGGTTGTAATGTTTATGAATTTGTTTAGGCCGATAATAGTGACTCCAGCTTGTATTGGCTGAATGGTTAAAAACAAAATGTTGCTTATATTACTAATAAGTATTGTGTAAAGTGTATATGATCTGAAACAGGAACAATAATTGTCCCTCTAGATGTTTTCTGCCAATTTGATTTATTAATATCAAATTGTTTCCAGGACACTGATACAACCATATATAAAGGAAGTTTTAGGACCCCTGCAATTCCTGTTGATTCTTAATCCCCCCGAAAATGGATCACGCCTTATTAGTGAAGATGACCAACTGTATTTGTATGAGGCTGCAGCAGTGATGATAGTGTCTGGGGCTTTTGATGCTCAGGTACTTGGTACTTTACTTTTTTTCACTTTTAAACTCTGAATTTTTATGCTTTCAAACATTGTGTCTCATTTCAAGATCAGTATTTATGGTTTACTTAACTAAGCATTTTCAGTAACTAAAGGTTCTGTAGTGTCGCAATCATTGAAAGGGATACAGTGCAGTTACAACTTGAACTTATGTTAATTGTTATGAACTATGTGGAAGAAACCAACAATTGTACTATTACACAGGAACGTAGCGTTACTGAAATAAGTGTCATGCTGGAGGAAATTTAAAGAACATTAGAAGTGTGCCACTTCCACATAAACAGTTTTATGGTCTAACTTTTTGTTAATAAAATGTGTTAATGTTGTTAAAACAAAGATATTCTCACTCATGCATGAACACCATTATACTTATTCAATTTCAGAATATTAAATGGTGTGAATCTGGTAAATTTTAATATTGATATAAATGTTTTTGTTTTTTTCAAAAATCTAAAATTTTGAGAGGGAGTTGTTTTACATTCAGGGAAATTTAATTTTCTATGTACTGTAGTAGTGCTTCATTATGCTAATGATATTACATAAACTACTTAACACCACATAATATTTTGTAGTTCACCTAACATGTAAATGGTTAACTTTATTATCACTCACTAAAAGTGTCAGTAAAGTGTCACTTGTAAATCTTTTTGAAACATTTAAAACAGATGCTTATTTCAGTTTACCAGGTACCACTCATGATTATGTATATAAATACTATGATAAAATTGATCATTAAGCAAGTTTATAAAATGTGTCAGATAGTAACAACAGTGGATACAATTACATTGACTTACTTATTTGTACACAATTTAAGATGGTTTTACTATGCTTAAAAAAGCCTGTTAATGGAGGAATGCAGCATTAGAAACTAGTGACTAAGGCAAAATATTATCTGATTTTAGTGCTTTTAATTCTTATGCCCTAATGCTGAGTTTTATAAATAATAATATTGGCTGATTTTAAAATTTATTTCTCATCGCTAGATATATTTTAGGTATAATGAATTCTTCTCAGGCTACTAGCTGTGTGAGGTGGTTAATGGAGAAAACACCAACACTTTGAGAACCATCTTCAGGGTTCTGTAGATGTATTTCAGGTAATTTTTAAAATAAATACATGATTGTGTTTTCAGCAAAAAGGGATGCTTATGTCAAACATGCTGATTCCTGTGATGGAGAAGTTCAAGACATTGGTGACTCAGTTGCTAGTGGAGACAGATGAACGGAAGCAGCAGCTATTTGCTCAGACCCTGTGCCATGCTATGGCTGTCACTAGCCGTGCCAGCAAAGCATTTACAAACCATCAGACGATGAAGTCTTGTTGTTGTGTGCCTGTATTTGTTGAGGCCACAAAGGTTTTCCTTAACTGCTTGCAGGTAACACACTTTGTGATGTTGTTATATTCTTTAAACCATGTGCCTCTTGCAATAGGTATGAAGTTCTCACAGTAGTGGAAATGATGATGGTCTTGTGGACTTATCAGTTGATACCAACATTTTGGAGGAATGTGCCCCCCCCTCCAATCTTTAGCTTGGAAGGTGGCGATACAGTATGTCCTCCAAAATTTTGGTATATGCCTACAAGTCTGCATACTATTACTGTCCACAAGACCGTTGTACCTTTTTTGTACCTTCTGATTTATTAGTTGCCACCAATGTTATTCACTTGCATGATTGCAGGCTTTGATATTGGTAGAACATTGTGCCCCAGCTGCGCTTTACCCTGGAAATGACCCCGGTACCCATTGAATAGGAGGGTGGGTAGGTGGGCCCCAGAACTAGTCTCGATGCAGAGGCTAGAGGAAGAATCCTCTGTCTGTCAGGGATTGATCCCCGGACGTCCAGTCCATAACCAGTCACTTTACTAACTGAGCTATGCCGGCTCATACCACTATATATATGAACAGCAAATATGCTAGTGTGTGCAATGTAGTGACAGTTTTGCATTAAACATTTTTATCTGTAAGCAACGGAGTTGTCAGACTTCCAGACTATATTTCAATTATTCAGGACCATGGTGTTTAGAAAGGCTTTGCAGGAGATAGGTACTGGTTATGAAAGAGAAATAGATAGATGTAGTGAGTGGATTTAATAGAATTTCATGTTTATTCATACAAGAAAAGTGAAGTTTATCTATTTCTTTTATCAGATTCCAACACAGTCACAAGTACTTCAGAGTGGAGTGCGGCAATTCCTTCATAGGATGGTAGTGTGCCTGGAAGAAGAACTTCTTCCTTATGTTCCACGGGCATCAGAAGGTCTTCTAAAGGGCAATGACATACGGAGCATTCAGGAATATGTGCCGTTGATTGTACAGATAATTGCAAAATTTAAAGTAAGTTAGATTTTGAGTTGTCTTATTCTGCTTTTAGTAGTGTTGCAAACTTTATTTGCATTCTGTTACTGATAATTTTTTTTAATTATTGTTTTATGTAGATTTTTGTCTTCATACATATTTTTTAATTTGTTAGGCAGGTTTCTAACAATTAAAACAGTTCAACAGGGTAATGAATACTGTATATGAAACAGGCATTGTGCTATAGCCAGGGGCAAACAGTGTGTTTTGCCTACATCACTGGTTTGTGTATAGAAGGAAAACAATTGCATATACTTTGTAAATTAAAAAATTGCTTCAGACAGCAAGCTACAAAGTATTGCAGCTGGGAAATGTGTATAGTTTGGATAGTATATACTTCCTTACCTGATATCCCACTGATCACCATGCCATATGCTCTTATTTGACATTGAATGAACAGATTCACCCTGTACAGTATGTGTGTGTCCATTTGTCTTTCTCCATAAAATCTCTTGAATGAAGTGGCTTTACAGGAAGCTTTTAATTTGAAGTTAGATTTCCTATAAGACAGGTATCTTCAGATTATAATTTGTTTGCAAAGAAACATTATGTGGGAGTATATTCAGTGAAAGCAGTTGTACCGTTGGGTTCCTTTTATCTCACAAAATAGAAATTAATACAGAAGTTTTTTATTGACTGGTCTGTTTTAATTAAATGAAGAACTAGTGGAGTTTATAGTTAGAGGCATCTCAGGTGCTGGCTCAGTCACATATAGTAGTGGTCCGCAGACATTTTATTGATTACAGGCTTACATGGCTGTCATAAAACTAGTACTTTCAATACTGTCTTCTGAAATTGGAAATTTATATTTAATTTCTTCTCACAGTTCAATTAAATTATGATAGCTTCAGTGAATTAGGTTGACCAGGGTACACCACAACTGAAAAGAACAGTTGTCCTGGGTGTTTCAGAAGGAAGTGATTCCATTCCTGCAGCAAGTTTTCATGCCAATTGTGAATGCAATCTTCTCTGCACAATCATTGCCTATTGAAGAAAATGATGAGCAAGGGAAACGGGAGAAGCAGTTACTCCAACGCAACTACTTCCAGTTCATTGCTGCTGTTGTCACAAACAATGTTTCAGAGGTTCTGAATGCTCAGGACAGCCGGTTCCTTGAGCAGGTGATGATGAGTATCATTCGTGGAGCTGTAGATTTCCCAGATCCAGTGGTAAGTTGGCTTATGCATGCTAATATGGCAGATATGTTTGTAAGTATCTGGTGTGAGCCTCAGTCAGAGTTCAAACTGCCTTGTCTTAGATTTTTCATAATTTTTCTCAGCTTGTCCAGGCAAATAACAGGATAATTACCTTGGCATAGGTCATGGCTTTTCTTCCCAGATCTTAATGGTACTCCATGCATTATATATCAACTCATATCTTCTCATGCATGAACTGAATGTGAACACATAGGATTATTGCATAATTGTACACAAACATAAATATAATGGGGACTAACATTTTGAGGGAAATTATTGTGTTGATTTTTAGCTCTGTTGCACAAAAAAATACCTTGAGATTTTTACTGCAATTGATATAAAAATACTAGTCTTATATATTTTTAATGTATTTTAAATCTTGTTAAATGGATGTTTCCTACTTTTACTATGTGATTTTGGCTTACTATCCTTTTGATTTTTATATTACTACATACTTCTCGTAGCAATGCACATATTTTTCCTGACGATGGCCCTGGTAAGGCTGAAACATGTAAAGAATTAAATATATAAAATAATGTAATGTAATAGTTGTATTTGGATTGTCTCTGGAATAATAGTGTCAAATATAATGGCATGGTATGTAACAAAAAGTGGCGTTAGGACATGGGAATTTTGTAGAAACACTCTTGGAAGTCATATTTTTTAAAAGGTGACTCCCATTTTTGGACATGGACATATAATGACATGAGACAGACATTAATTTAAACTAAAGTTCATTCACTTTGTTGACAATTTCACAGAATGCAGTTACACACAACCCAAAGAACTATTTAAAATCAGTCCCAAACTTAATGCCTAGAATACAAAATTTCAGTCTTTGTATCTGTCTATAGAAAATATTTGCGTTGATGAGGTCAGTTATTTTGGAAACTTTACATCTTTGAAGGCATCTTCATTATTGCTGATTGAATTAGAAATGATTGTGGCAGGTATTCTGAGAATGGCCAGTTTGTGTTTTGGAGCTGTCGAGTCTCAACTATGTCATGGCACCAGTTCTTCTGACAGATATCTAATTGGTTTCCTCAGTTCTTTAAGGCAAATGCTGGGTTATTGTATTTACATGGACCATGATTGCTTTAACCCCTGTTTTTTAAGGGTTACTATATATGTTTGCTCATCTCATTGAACGTTACATAACTTCTGAAGGTGATAGCATTGGTAAGTCATGCAAAAACTTAAAACCTTGTGTGGAACAGCTTTTTAATTTTTTGTGTTTTTTTTATTTCAGGCTCAGAAAACGTGCTTCTCAATCCTGCGAAAATTGGTGGACTTATGGGGTGGTAAGGAGCAGCCTGATGACTTCACACAGTTCATATACAAGAACATAGTTCCTGCATGCTTTATGGCACCCCTTAAGTCCACATTTGATCTCTCTGATGCTCAGACATTACTGGCATTGGCAGAGAGTGCCATGTGTTTGAAGGCCATCCTGCAGAGACGTGTAAGTTGAAATTTGCTGTTCATTTTATAAATAAATCTGTCAACTGTTTATCATAGAAGTAATAATTAAAAATGCAGGGGAGTAAATAAAATAGGGGTATTCTGGATTTGGTACATACTTCAATGTTATGTTTACTGCATCTGTCTTCTGTGCTCTGATCGGTGGCATTTATGTTATGCCTTGTTACTATGTTTCGGTTGTTTAATTTATATTGATTCTTATCCCATAAAGGTAAGTCAGTCATGCCCTGATGCTGGGATGCAAAGGGGGATGTCATGTGTTCCTCCCTTTAATCTCAGCTTCTGCAATTCTCATTTGTCATCTACAGATCATCCCTTTTGGCTTCTTTACTGACCCCCTATGCATATTGAATACCTACCACATCATCTCCATAGTTTGCCACATCTGTTCATGTTTATCACAGAAATCCTTATTCATCTTCTAGGTGTATTATGTCTGAGATTTGAAGGGCAGTAGATTTATGAAATATGTCTTACAAGCAGGAATCTATGGAGAAATTATAATTGAAGGTTAAGTGGACTCTTTTCATTACTGCTGTATGCAAGTGTAGGTGCAGACCTTGGTTTATAATCAATTATGCCCCAGTAGTAGCCCAGGTATGTAACCATTGATCTGGCTGTGGCAACTGTGTGTCAAAAAATAGTTTAAAATGTTTCAGATGTAAATCTCAGGGAACAAAATAAATATAAATGAGGTATGTAATGAAATTATGTGAATAATATATTATTGCATGTTGTTGTTTATTCCATACACTACTTTATGTAAGGATATCTAATATTGTCATATGTGTTATATGGTTATGAGATATGGCTGCTTACTTTGAGAATTAATGCTGTTTGATTTCCTTTATGAAGATGGCTGTCTTCTGGGTTGTTGCACCGTGTAGTCTGGTAGAAGTTTACCAACGTTTCAGAGGTCCTTGCTGCCTCCATCAACAGGGTGATGAGTGACCCTGATGATGGAGGCAACAAGGACCTCTAAAATGTTGGTAAACTTCTACCAGACTACATGGCACAACTACCCAGAAGACAGACATCTTTAACCCTGCTGTGAAAACCAATAATCCTACTGATTTCCTTTATATTTGCTCCATAATAAATTATAACACTTTGCTGTTATTCGGAAAGATAATATGTATATGTTTCTGTAAATTTCTGAAAATTTTAGACTTTTCAGTTTTGTTTTATCAGACTAAAGTGATCAAGTTTCATCAAAATTGTATTGTGAAACATGAATAATTCATGTGGAATTTCATTTACTTTCTTCCAGGGGGATGAGTTTGTCAGCTACCTCCATACAGAATACCTCCCAACTCTTCAGATCTCTCCGCAGCTTATAGATGAGTATTGCCAGGCCCTCAAAGCTGAAAACAAAGTCTTCAAAAATTATGTCAAAGTAAGTGGAAGAAATTGATATTTTGAGTTAATTAGTTAAGTATCAATTGTGCATTATCCTTCTTAGGGGTCCGCAGTGGCCGCGCGGTCTGGGGCGTGGGCCTTCTGCTGCTTGGTTGCTGGGACCGTGGGTTAAAATCCCACTCAAGCCATGGATGTTTGTCTGCGTTTTTCTGTGTTGTGCTGTCCTGTGTATAGGTAGAGGCCTTGCGACGGGCCGATCCCTCGTCCAAGGACTCCTACCAAATGCCTATAGATCAAGCCAACGAAAAGATGGGACCCGCAGATGCTCAGGCACTGAAGAACGGGTCTCATAAAATACAAATAAATCCCAGTTATCCTTAGTCCACCTGGCTTGATCTGATTCAGAATTAATTTCTTTCCTTCTGGTCACAAAATAAAACCGATAATTGTCCTGTTAAATTTATCCTCAGCTTATTGTTGTGTATTCATTTCTGAAAGGATAAGGCCTTGTTAGCCATGTTACAGCTGAATAATTGCTGCTGAGGGTAGTACTGACATGCAGTGCACACACTTTGTGGTACTTCCTATTACTTTTAAATAGAAATGGACTGTTGTAATGAATTAGGAAAAATAGCTGTTTTCCTTTGTTATTCCAAGAAAATGTGCAGTACCCATCACTCTACAGTGACAGTTAGCAATTAGCATCACAGAATTATAAAATTAAACTCTTATCTTTATGAACTGATACACAGTGACTGAAGTCTTGCTAAATTCATGGATACAAAGTGACCATTAGAAAAAAGAATATTTTTGTCCTAACTAAGCCAAGTCAGAAAAACATACGTTTCTTTAGAATATTTCCTGTATCCAGTACAGTTGGAAATCCCTTTGTGAAAAATAATAAGTTTGTGACATCTCCACACGCTTCTTAGTACCTAGTATATTCTGTGATGCTCATTGTCCATTTAAATTTGCTCTTTTATTACATTTTATGGACTGAAACTGTTTGAGAATGAAGTGCTGAGGAGAATATTGGAGTTATGGCAAAGAAAATTACATAATTAAGAACTTCATAATTTGTACTCTTCACCAAATACTGCTGGGTTATTAAGTCAAGGATGAGTTGGGTGAGGTATGTAGATCACATGGGGAAAGTGAGATGCACACATTTTTTTCAAAAATCTTCAGTATAAGAGATTGTATGGGAACATCATGCTTTGAGGATTATATAAGTGACTCTTGTTATATGCAGGGTTGCATTCCTGTGAATTGCCATGCATATAAAAAAACATGTAGAATGGGAAACATAACATACCTGTGAATTTTCTGATATGTAATGAAAGGCATTAATTTGTAGTCATCAGAGTCAAAATGGTAGGGCAAGTCAGTGAAACTGCATGTGCATCTCATTGGGCTTGTGCAGCAACTTCCGCTGTGGCTGTGGATAGGATATTGAAGCTCCTCATGATACTGAAATAAAACCACAGATATGCAAAAGCACAGATAGTGGAAGTGTGTGTAGCGAGATTGACCTGGATTAAAATGGATCTTACAGAAGTAGGATGTGAAGGTGGAGATTCGATTCAACTGGTTGAGAATAGGGTCTGCTGCCAGACTTTTATGCATGATATTGAAACGTTGGGTTCCATAATAGGGCGGAAGATTCTTGACCAGCTCAGCTACTGTAATTTAAGAATGATATTGCAGCACATAGTTATGTTATATGAAAAAATAGGATATATTAACAGTATGCACTATAAACATGTGACATTAATAAATTTATTATTGTTACAAACTGTACATTTTTACTGTAATTTGTTTCAGATATTTTTCCAGCAAGCAAGAACATGACAGATGTGGAAGATTCTGAACAAAAGCAATTGATTGATGCCTAATGGTAAAAATTAATACCATGATATTATTTTTTCCTGGAATTGCTGATGTTTCTGTAAATATTTCTTTGTAAATATTTAATTTAGTACTGTTACAGATTTTTCTGAAATCGCACACATTTCTGTGCTCTCAACATACATGTGATTAAGTTGAATTATTGATTTATTCTAGTGCTGTTTTTGAGGTATGAAGAATTGAGTAATCTTGTTTATTGAATATATGATTCTTTTACACTTGTCTGATGCTGTCCATTTAAAACTCTCACTGATGATACTGAATTGAGTGAGTATTTTTTAAGTATCTAGTGTCTGTTTTATAAATGAGACTCTCAGTTTGCTCAGTTCATTTCCCATGATTTATTTATGAATATTTTTGAATATATTGTATTTTATTGTAAACAGTTTGTTTGTATAATTTTTAGAGTTTGGGCCTTGTGGATGTACTGTTACTTTCGTTCCTGAAGTTCAGGACATTTCCAAACCACTGAGCAGCCATTGGATTAATTGGGATTAGTAATGTGGTAGGGTTGCCTGTTCATCTCATAATTGCCTGTGATTATGTAAGTGTGTTGTGTCATTACAGTTTGAACATAATGAAGTATCAAAACACTGCCTAATTCCAATGCTTTTGGTTATTAGTACTGTTTAATGTTTTTGTCATGCAGTTTCCCTTTTTCTGTTTTGGTTTGCACTGTGATCCTGTTGAATTTAAGAAAAGGTTAGTATGGAACCTGTAGTTGGCATTGGGCACAAGTTAGTGAGGTGTAAAGTTTTGTCAAATTGAAACTTCATTTATATATTTTTATTTATATTTTAATATTGAAGTGCAGACGTGAAGCAGAAATTTCTGATTTGTTGAAAATGAAAAATTCAATAAGCTAGCAGTGTACAAGCTTGGTCTGGCAGCTTGTGTTGACATTCCTTCTTAATTCTATAAATTAAGTATTTTCCTTTCATATATTTAAATCATTATTGGAGGATGATATAAATACAATAAAGAGGAACACAGAAGTTTTACTAGAAGCTAGTAGACAGGTGGGGCTAGAAGTAAATTCAGAAAAAACTAAGTACATGTTAGTGTCTCTTCGTCAGCAGACAGGCTGGCAGAATTATCTTAGGGTGGCTAATAAATCCTTTGAAAGTGTCACAGAGTTCAAATATTTGATAACAGCAATAACAGTTTAAAATTATATTCATGAGGAGTTAGGAGAAGACAAAATTCTGGAAATGCTTGCTACTTCTCGGTTCAGAATATTTTGTCTTCCCGTCTGAATTCTAAGAACCTGAAAATTAAAGTATACAAAACAATAATTTTGCCTGTTTTGTATGGGTGCAAAACATGGTCTCTCACTCAGAGGGAGGAACACAGATTGCAGGTTTTTGAGAATAGAGTGTTTAGGAGGATATTTGGGCCTAGGAGAGAAGATGATGGGGCATGGAGAAAACTGCATAATGATGAGCTTAAAAATCTGTACTCCTCCCCCATTGTCAGGGTGATTAAGTCAAGAAGAATGAGATGGGCGGGGTATGTAGCGCGCATGGATGGGACAAGAGGTGTGCACCGGGTATTGGTTGGGAAGCCAGAGGGGAAGAGACCACTGGGGAGACCTAGATGTAGATGGGAGGATAATATCAAGCGGGATCTATGGGAGATAGGAGTGGAAGGATACTGGATTTTGTTGGCCCAGGACAGGGTCCGGTGGAGGCCTTTGGTTAATTCGGTGATGAACCTTCGGGTTCGGTAAGGCATCTAGTTAGTTATATTTGAATCACAGCATTTCTGAAATCAATTGACTGAAAGTAAAGAAGATATTTCAGTGCACTGTACCTTTACAGAACTGTTGCATCCATAAGAGTGTGTTGTTCCATGTGGCAAAACTTATGTTCATAATCATGATGGGGTTAACAGGGTGTCCATTTAAATTGAACTTCTTGCTGTGTGTTATGAAGATAAATGTAAATGCTGTGTAATGTCATCATTCTTAGAGGTACTCATATCTGAAGGGAGGAGTACCCTGTTATTGGTAACTTCACCAATAAAGTAATTCAAAAAGATATCAACTGAATACATTCTGGTTCCTCATCCAGTATATTCTATAATAAGTACCACATAATTTGACGGAAGCTGTTTGGCCAACCTGCTGATTGCTGTCAGGTTTTGGGGAAATATTTACTCTGCATTCGATATCCAAAACAAATGGAATAGTGCCTTACAGTTGGTCACGATTAATTCCCTACAAACTTCTGATTTACAATATAATCATTTACCTTTACAGGAAATGGTGTGCTGTCAATGTGAAGGCAAGAAACTGATCTGAATAGAAATTAGATTGCTATATAGTGAGACAAGAATTTGTACATTCAATCAAATTGTGATAAGTTTTTTATTTTTATCTGTCTGTGGTTATCTGAACATCATTGATCCTATTAACTTTATTTTCTTTACTTTTGCTCTCTCAGAAGGTGGATATGTTAGAAATCCTTATCAATCTATTATGTTGTGTCCTAACAACTGGAAATTAGTAGTTGAATCACCAGTTGGGTTTGTATGGAATGGTGATGGAACTGATGGATGAGTTTGTTTAGATTTGCAATGAATTTGGATATATTTATGAGAGGAACATGTGTGACTATGATACTTTTTATGTGTTTTGTGGTGGTATTTTCCATTTTATTTGGACCAAGCTGTATGAATAGAATAGGTGAAGAAATGATATCATGACATATTTAGTGTTCAATTTTTACAGTGTGGTTACATAAGCTTTCAAATTATCCTCTTTTTATTAGACATTTTAATGCGACCAAAGTAGGTTCCTTTCAGTTATAGCTATATCTCTTTGTCCCCATCCCAAGTTCTGACTAGCCAGTCTCATTTGTTCCCCACAGCCTAATCATTCCATCTTTCCTATATAACCCTCCCACAACCCAGCTTTACTCACTACTTTGAAGGTGTACGTAGCAGGTTCCTCCACAACACTGGTAACCACCTACATTATTACATGGTGTCATAACCCAGAATACCACATTCTGAAGGACATAATGAATTGAAGTAAATCCTGTTTAGCCACTTTTTAAATTTGTTGTCAGTACATGCAGCTGTTGGAACAGTCATAGTCAAAAGTCCTGCCCTCTTTAGCCACGTGACTTTAGCATACTACTGAATTATCTGGTCAAGACGTGGCAGAATTTAAAATTGCAGAACGTGAAGAAGCATTTTCTTCCTTGTTTTATGGTGCTGGGTTTTGTTAGTGCATGCAGGTTCGTATCAAAAGTAACCAACATTTAATTTCTGGTCCATAGCAACAGATAGAGATGTCTAGAGGTAATCAGAATTTCAGCAAAGAGTAATGCATCCATAGACCATCATTTTCATTAGGAACTCTATTTGTAATATGGACTGTACACCTACAGTGACACACAGCATTCATTAGAACAGTATAGTGCAAAGGTAATTAAATGCACATTCACATTAAAAAATTTGCAATGCCAGGTAGTGTTTGTTAAATCCAAAATTCGTTAAATTGAGAATTTACTGCAAAAACAACTAATTTATCTGTTATGTGAGTTTGAAAATTGCATGATTAAATTTGGGATGAGAAGGTGGATATTTCATTTAGCATGGGAAATGAAAAATGTATACAAAAATTTTATTTGGAAGACCTGAAGGGGAGAGACATAAATGTATATGGGAGGATGATAGTAAAATGGACCCTTCAAAATTTGACAGGAGGGGACAAAGACACCAGACATGAGACTTCTTCCAACTTTGCATAGCCATGTTGATCCAGTGTTCATTAAACCTAACGTTTAAGAAGTTATCATAACTGAATTAATCTTTGCTGATCCCTTATTTTTAGTAATGGATTTCTAATTGTCTTATTTTTGTTTTGAGGTGTCACCACTATGTATTGCCAGAGAAAAGACCCTGATTAAAAATATTTTAGGTTATGTTGTGCTTTGTCATATTCTATATATAATGGATCTGATAAATTTTAAACTACATACATAGCATTCTTCTACATCAATCCATATTATTATGCTGCATTATAATGAGATCCTTTCAGAAGTACACTCCAGTAGCCAAACTCTATTATGGAATGCTATGGCTTATCTTTGCTGCAGAAAAATCAGAATGTGATTAATGTTCACCACCAATTCCTTATTCATTGTGTGGTTATGTGTTTGTTGCAAGTTTTATCTATCAGTTCCTTTTCCATTCTTAATGCCTTAGAAATATTTGAGCTCAGTGTTGATTAATCCAAACATGGTATAATTTTGATGCATCATATAAAGGAGAAAGACTGCCTACATAAGGCTTGTATATTGAAGAGTTTGGTAGTTTGCTATTAGGGTATACATAAGGAAGTGAACTTTTTGAAAACCAGTTCTATTCTGTCAGGCTTGAGATTCTTTTGTACATGCCTCTAAGACATAAACGTTTCTTGACTAGTTGAATTATAAAAATTACAAGTACAACAAATATAAAGAAATAGAAATGGTTTCAGTGTTTATTGTGATTAAATTTTTGCATGACCTCATTTGGTAAGTTATTTAAATATCTGATGTTTTTGTGCAGTTTTCTGCTCGGTAAAAATGTGAATATTTTGATCATATTCGGGATAATCTTTTAATGCTTTATGTCTTTTTAGGTTGGAAAAAGCTTAGATGGATTATTAAATATGTGGATGAGGTAAAAATTGTGGAAGGCTCAAACATCATTCACATAATGAAACTGAAAATTGTAAAATATCTTTTGATTTTGGAGATTAAATATAGATTTAATTTAAAGAAATCTGTAGAATTTGTACTGAAGAATTATGCATGTATATTTACATTTTTACAAAATGGCCCCTGGTATAAAATAGCTATTCAGAGGTACTAAGAGTTTCTAATAAAATGTGTATGGACATGATTTGATACAAACATTTAGTGAAGTGATGAAAGTTATGTGTTTACTTTATAATACTGACATGTATTACTGCACTGGCTTGTACCTGATGTCTCCAGATTTGGTCTCTGATGACCTTCCTGGCCTCTACTGACCTAGGCAAGAATGTAGAATCCATTTCTGAGGTTGCAGTATCCATACAGTGCATCATGTACCTTCATTGATGGTGTAATTAGAATGGTTGGCAAAAGGAACTTGCATCTTAATATGGACTTTGAACCATGATGGAGACTAGTATTCTTCACATTCCTGAAGTTTTATCTTTGGCAAAACCGAAGTAAAAGCCTGTTCCCAAGTGGTTATTTTTATTTAAAACATTCAGTGTAGTTATTCTGGCATACTTTTAAACCTTTCAGTTGAACAATGAAATTAATAAATTTCTGGAAAGTAATAATATGCTCAGTACTTTTGGGGTATATTAATTAATATGGTAACTGCAGTACATTTTATTATATTATGGGACTGCCAGGTTATACGACAATGAAAACGTTACATTAAGAAACGGTTATTGTAAATATAGGATAATGTAGACTTGTTTTGTCATTTTTGACGTCTATACGGAAGGGCCATTCGACAAAACAACGTTAGGAAAGTGTGTAAGATCCATACCAACTGTGTAAATATGGACCGACAATGGTCAGCTTTTATATGAACTCCTGCGTGCATAACAATGCTTTACTCCTTTACTTCAAGCCACGGTGGTCTAGCGGTTAGAACGCTGTCCTTGTAATCCTGGGGTCTCGGGTTTGATTCCCGGCGGTGCCCGAATTTATAACTTGTGTTGGGCAAGGTCGTGGTCTAGGCAACACGGAGTTTTCCTCCGTGGCATCCCAACAATTACTCCATTCACACACAGAAGAAGGCAATGGCAAACCACTTCTGGATCATCTGCCAAGAACATATATGAACAGGTCCCAGTCCGAGAAAAAGATGGAAGGATCCTGTTCATATGGACATGTCGTCAGACAAAACACTAAATAATAATAGCATTGTTGTGTTTCATTACTGCCGTTTCGTTATTGGGGAAAAGAGAGCTGTGAATCGCTTGTAGAAGAAGTGCGTGGTAGAGTAGATAATATTGTGCTGTTAAAAACGTTTTAGAATATCAATTACTTATCATATATAATAATTATTAAAAAATCCGTGATACTGCCCTCCACTCTCTCCATTTTAGTTTTGATTAAATTGGTCATTGTGGGTGGACATCGTGGTCTCTTATAATTGAACAAAGTCTGAGGTGAGGGATTCCTATTTATTATTATTGTTCTTCGCGTTAAGCGCCCGCCTCTCGAAAACCGTAAGAGATGGATCTGGACATATTGCGTACGAAATACGTATTACCTCTTCAGCTTTCCATATCTGTTTTCAGATTTTACATATCACAAATGGTTTAGGTTCTACAAACATTTATTTATACAAATAAAGGCGCATCGCACTTCACGCTACTGCTGTGTTTGTGTGTTCCGTCATACTATGTAGAGATACAAGATGGAAGACATTGAGCTAAAAGTCTGTAATGCAGAATATATGAGAGTACAGAAAACGTAAAAAAATAGAAATATTAAATAATGAACCTGAAGTTCCCCCCAAAATACCAAAAAGTAATGCTGAACGTATGAGGGATAGGTAATTAAGCAATGTCTTAATCAAACTATTTACTCCATTGTAAAGCATGTATAAAGGGAATGTTTAGAATAAAGCTAATATATAAACTTCCTTTCATTTTATTTATTGCCAAAATATAATTTAAATACAAAGACGTATTTACGTCAGATTCTCCGGAACCGTGGTTCCACTGTCATTTTTTAAATAGGATTCGTTCATATATTCCGTCATATGTGATACGGTATGAAATGGAGGAAGAGAATGCTGGCGTAAATAGCGAAAATTCTTACGCCATACGACAAAATTTCTTCGAACACAGTAATCGTAGACCTTAGAAATGATGTTTATCGTAATCGAAAGGGATAGGTACTAACATATATTCTTAAGATGAGATTTGAGGTTTTCACGGCCATGAAAACGATTTATTTTGTTCCCCTCAGATGACGTGACAAGACTACATTTCATTTACACTTCAGATGATCTGAATAAAACCATTTCACTCTGATAAAATAACCTTTCGCTTTTACAATCTAAGACTTTCCACGAAAGTTCCATCTTTACGATAACCTGATAGGATATTTCACAAGGCATTCGGCCTTTATATTTTTGGAATCTGTCAGTTGGTATGTCTGTATTTGCTCCTGCGTTTGATGGTTGCGTAACCTATTCTGTTAACATGTTAATGCTTTAGGTTTATGTATAATTTTAATGTTGTCATGTTAAAAATTAGTTTAATGTACATTTTGGTGATTGACTGAATCTTCATAATTGAAATTAACAGGTATGTGGAATTGAAGAAGAAGAAGAGGTGTAAGAACTTCATTTGCAGCTAATATCTGGCCTTTGGTATGAAATAACTGAGGTATACGTGTTATCTTATCGTGATACATTGTGGCGAATAAAATATTTTCTCGTTTATTAGGCTTGTACATTATGCTTACCGTATACTGATATACACGGCTTAGTTTCTGTTGGGCATTGGTTATGTTGTAGCAACGGGTTTTGTGCCATGTTTCACTTACTCTCCATGTTTACTAATGGCTTCCACAAAATGCCTTTAAACGTGTTATGATTTTACGTAACATATTATTAATGTTTGTTCTTAATTTATATTATTCAGTGTTTGGTATGATAGTATTGTTGGTTTTGAAGTTGTATAATGATTATTAGTAAAATTATTCCACAAATACAAAAGGGCTAATTTTATACAGAGAAGTGCTGTTGTGCTATGAAACCATATACGCTGAACTTAAAATTACGTGTAAAGAGAACTCTTATGTAATGACAAATTTTAATTTAAAATTTTTGAAATTAGACAAACTTGCCCATGTTTTATTATTATTCATTAATTCATTCATTAAATGAAATACAATTGATGTGTGATGTCATGTCAGGTGGGAAATTTTGTATTACATACATAAGGAACCAGTATTTATAAAATAATTTCCATATTGGATTGAATAGTAGCACCTGCACCCTGTTATGAGAATTTCTTTCCTTTTTGAACCAGTTGATTCTAATTTGTTTTGTGAAAGTTGGAACTTCATTTTAAAGTCATTACATATGAGCAGAATGATTTTTGAAGTGTTGAGTGAAATGTTATACAGGACGCATGTAAGTTTTATTGTTGGTATGTTCAGTTGAAGGAGTGAAATTATTTGGATCTCTAGCCATTGTGTTATATTTATTTAAATGTAACAGAAAGAAAATGAAATAAACATTCTTGATAATGTGTTTAAAATCTTTTTAATTGTGATTTTAATATTTAATGTACAATTTGACAAGTTATTTTGTCTGTAACTAATGTGTAATTACAATTGCATGGGTTGGAATGGAACAAATACATGTAAGATTTGAGGTTTTCACAGCGATGATTATGAAGATCTCTGTCTTCTGGGTTGTTGCGCCGTGTAGTCTGATCGATGCGATGAATCGCCCTGATGACGGAGGCAGTATGACCTCTGAAACGTTGGTAAACATCGACCAGACTACACAGCGCAACAACCCAGAAGACAGAAATCTTCATACTAAGAATCGCCCTGATGACGGAGGCAGTATGACCTCTGAAACGTTGGTAAACATCGACCAGACTACACAGCGCAACAACCCAGAAGACAGAAATCTTCATACTAAGAATCGCCCTGATGACGGAGGCAGTATGACCTCTGAAACGTTGGTAAACATCGACCAGACTACACAGCGCAACAACCCAGAAGACAGAAATCTTCATACTAAGAATCGCCCTGATGACGGAGGCAGTATGACCTCTGAAACGTTGGTAAACATCGACCAGACTACACAGCGCAACAACCCAGAAGACAGAAATCTTCATACTAAGAATCGCCCTGATGACGGAGGCAGTATGACCTCTGAAACGTTGGTAAACATCGACCAGACTACACAGCGCAACAACCCAGAAGACAGAAATCTTCATACTAAGAATCGCCCTGATGACGGAGGCAGTATGACCTCTGAAACGTTGGTAAACATCGACCAGACTACACAGCGCAACAACCCAGAAGACAGAAATCTTCATACTAAGAATCGCCCTGATGACGGAGGCAGTATGACCTCTGAAACGTTGGTAAACATCGACCAGACTACACAGCGCAACAACCCAGAAGACAGAAATCTTCATACTAAGAATCGCCCTGATGACGGAGGCAGTATGACCTCTGAAACGTTGGTAAACATCGACCAGACTACACAGCGCAACAACCCAGAAGACAGAAATCTTCATACTAAGAATCGCCCTGATGACGGAGGCAGTATGACCTCTGAAACGTTGGTAAACATCGACCAGACTACACAGCGCAACAACCCAGAAGACAGAAATCTTCATACTAAGAATCGCCCTGATGACGGAGGCAGTATGACCTCTGAAACGTTGGTAAACATCGACCAGACTACACAGCGCAACAACCCAGAAGACGGAAATCTTCGAACAAATACATTTTATGAGCTTTAAAGGTTATTATCCTTGCAGGTTCATTTTATGTGACACAATCAATGGATTGTCACGGCTCTGGTGCTGCTCAGCCACAACCAGTGGCCTCACCGATGGGCCCACCTCCCCCACAGACTCCCTCCCCCATGCCGCCTCCCCAGACGCCACCTCCTCCAACTCAAGGACAGCAGCAGGTCCTATCCCCGATGGGCCCTCCACAGCAGGTGATGTCTCCAGGACCTCCACCCAGTCCTGGCCGACAAGTGGCATCTCCCTCACATCAGCATTTGAACACACATGGCCACATGGGCTACCAACAGCAATCTCTTTGCCCTAGTGGAATGCTGCCCAGTCCACAAATGTCAGGGCAGGTAAGCAGTAAAACTTTGTCTCAACCTTTTATGGCTTAAAAGTAATGTTCACTGATCTCCTTTTCCTTATACAAATTTTACCTATATTGACTATACAGAAGCCAGTAAAAACAAATTATATGTCTTCTGTAAAATTAAAAATTAAATTGTTTAGTTCTTTTATAATGAAGGTGAAAATTTTTAATTTCAATATGGAGGTAATAAGATTAATTAATTATAATTATAATGTTTATATTGTATGTTGTGTAAATGAGAGGACCAGTGCAGAGGCCACAGACATTGAGAGTCGAAGGGCAAAAGGTTGGCCATGTATATTAAGTGGAAAGAGAAACTGTATGTCATCACTTATTGGTACATAATTTGATGTATCTATAAAGCTTTTAGGGTTTGTTTATAAAATAAGATCCAGTTTGTTGAAACCATTTACAGTATGCAGAAGTGATGTAACAATTGATTTTTATTTACATCTGTAGTATTTATTAATTCAGTACAGATTATTAAGAAACAAATGACAAATTAGCTCTTTTGATTTGACATATGTTTGAAGAGTATTTGCAGATTAGTAACTCAAATACCCCTTGTAATATCTATACACCTCAGGAAACCATTGGAGTAGTTTCAATGAATTGAGACAGTTTTGTGTTAGAATATATTAAATGCTATAGGAAGTACAAACCAGTCATCCACAAATGGAATGAGCACTGAGTATAATAATGTGCAACATAAATAATAAAACATGCATAATCCAGTGGTGGACTTATGAAATTTTGTATGTGCGGCATGTAGAGAAATTGTACATGAGGCTTTGATGATGGTCTAGTAGGACTGAAACATGTCTTATAAATTATAACGATTGTGAATAAAAGTTGTTGGTGTTAATATAGGCCAAACATTTTAAAGTTATACTGTGTGAAAGGCCATACAATTCAAAGGATGACCAAACATGTGTTTAGGAAAGTACCAGTGTCTGTTTTTTTTTATTTTGTTGGGTGTATCACCCCCCTTTGAGCATTTCTCTAATTCCTGGCAGAGACTGTTATTTGTCATAAAGGTGGTACTGTATTAGACTGTAACAGTTGACCCATATAAGTAGTGATTTTAAAATTTTAATTTTTAACCTGATTACATGTTTGTTGTGTTTTTTGTCAGTACTTTGTTAGCTGTATCATGTACTTGGCTAGTATTATGTAGTACTTCTGTTATAGGGTCAATATTGTACGTATATGTAATGTAACATGCTACCTTTCTTGTTTTTCTCTCTCATATTTATGTTTTCCTGTTAGGAATTGAAGTGTTACATTTTGTAGTTTTATCCTGAAAGAAGCGTCTTTGATTTCTGCTGTTTCAGTAATAAAATATTTATGATATGTGTCAAATTTTTCATTTTAATTTGTTACTATGCTTTGACTTGTTCATGACAGTTTATTTTTCTGTATTCCTGTTTTTGTAGATGGTTCCTCAGTCCTCATCACAAGATACATACCAAGCTCTGCAGAGGGCGATTGGAGCTATGGAAGAAAAGGGTATGCAGAGTGATCCCCGATATTCACAGCTCTTGGCCCTTCGTGCTCGGCAGGTTTCTTACAGTTCCCCAGGCCAAGCAGATCCTTCACGAGTAATGCAGGTATATGGAGCACATGTGGTATCTCCTACCAAGTGGAATGTTTATATGTTATGTTGCCTGTGTATTAACATATTTCCATTGTATGCTTGATTGGGACCAAAGTTGTGTTATAGAACTTTATAGATGTATCATCAAAAGGAAAAAAACAGTCATGATTGCTGCGTTCTTGCAGGTGACTCACAAAGCTTGTCGAGGTTGGGATTTTGACTGAAAACGAAGAATTTATGTAGACATCAAGCTCATTGAAAATTTGTTTTTGATCTAGTAGTTTGCAAGCATAGTGAAAAATAAAATCATGGCAATTTTAGAAACCCATAAGACAGAACCGCAGTTTATTTTTAAAAATAATGTGGAATAACTGAATTTTTGTATAACAAAGTTTGCTGGAATACCAACATGTCTTACACCAGTTTATGCTCTATGTTTAATTGCTCAATATTGGTAACAATGGGTGGACTAGTGGTTAGCGTGCTCGCCACTGGACCCAAGGTTCGCGGGTTCAATCCTGGCCGAGGTCGATGGATTTTTTAAGGGTGATAAAAAATCCGCAGCACAACTTCCTTCGGAGGGGAAGTAAAGCCGGCGGTCCCATGTCATAGATTTACGGCATGTAAAAGAACCTTGCGAGCATGATACGAGATGTTTGGTAAGCAAAATTCAGTGGCCCTTTCTCACCCAAGTCTCTCCTGATTTACTGCTTCACTGCTAGATGGCTCTGGCAGTTAATCAGGAGTGAGTAGAAATTGTGCAGAGTCAATGGGCTGGTCACTCACTACTCTTAAATGCACGCTTTTAAGATCATGAAACCTCCGAAAGGAGACCCTATGCTCCACTTAGGAGTTACAGGAACTAATTGAAAAAAAAATGGTAACAATATGACTGAAAAATATTCATAGTGCTCAGTTGCAGACTTGCTTGCAGGGACCAGGTGGTTTTCTTGATGGAACTCCAAAGTACATCTTCAGTTCTCTTCAACTGCAGCAGTTGCGAGTGCAGATTATGGCATACCGACTGCTAGCACGTAACCAGCCACTGACGAGTCAGATGGCTCTGGCTGTACAAGGGAAACGGATAGATCCTGCCCCCCTTCAGCGGATGCCACAACAATTAGATCCAGGTAAGTTGGTTGCAAATAGGAAGATGTGTGAAAAAAACATTTTCATTACACATGCTGGTGAAATAGGAAAGAGTTTGGAATAGAATAATTGGAGGCTAACCTGAAGTTGTCTTGTTGGTATGTTAGTGATATTGTTTTCTCCATTGTAGTGCATGCCATAATAAACCATCCTGTGATTATCTAGTAATCATAATCAGTATCATAGACTCAACTTGTTCCAGCAGTCATATTTCTTCCAGTTCATAACAGTCTGATATTCCACACAAGCTTCCATTTGACACATTGCCATTATGTGTAAACATGGGTAAAATATATATTTATATATAGAAATAGGTGAGGGAGAAATCATGTAAGTTGTGTGTGAGCAGGTGCAGTAGGTGGAGTGATGCAGCAGCCAATGAGAGCTCCTGGCCCAGTAGGAGGTCAGCCACCGAGCCAGTCTCCACTTCCAGGTCAGCCTGCTCCATCACCAGGCCAACAGACAGTGGGCACATCTCCAACCACAAGCACATCCCCTGGCACCGGTGCAGGTACTGGGACTCCGGTAGTACAGCCAACATCTGCAACGCAGTGCCCTCGTTCTCTCCCTTCCTCAGGACCAGCAGCAAGTGCCCAGTCTGCTGCACAACCGCCACCACAACAGAAACAGAACCGGGTGACCCCCATAGCCAAACCTGCAGGGCTTGATCCCCTGATCATACTTCAGGAGAGGGAAAACAGGTGGGTTCTAGCTTATTAGCTCCTATAATGTCAGAAACAGTTGAATCAGTCATTTAAAGAAAGTGTGTGTCATTATCACACAGATTGGTGCTTCTTATTTGCATCTTGGATTTGTTATATGCAACTTCCTCTTCCTGGTGAAGTCGGCAAATTATGCTAGCAGTAGCAGAAAATACAGGTACTTCATACATGGCGCTGTAACAGAGATTTCGGTATTTTATTGTTTTCTTATGATAGGCAACCCATTTAAACCAATTGTAATCTGATTTTGAAAAATAGTGGAGTCAGAACAGGTCTGTTAGTCTGGCATGGTGTGGTTGATATGTAACAATTTTGTAGCAGTCCCAGGATTGTGTTGTCTTAATAGCTGCAAAACAGTGTTTTGGCTGATTTTTGTGGGTTCGATCCCCCGACGGGGGCAGAGGATTTTTCCTCTAGCCTCTGCGTCCAGACCTCCTGTCCAATGGGTACCGGGGTCCTTTCCCGGGGGTATAGCCGGGTCGCGACGAGACGCTGACCACTCATCTCTATCTAGGGCCGAGGTTAAGAATGAGTAGGAGCTATACCTCGTCTCTCCCCTCCCCCAAGCGCCTACAGCGGGACAAACTTCATTTTAATGTTTTTGGAGACTGGTACTGAAAGGTTGAATTCAGGGTTTTGTGTGTTAAACTTTTGCTTTGCAATTGTAATAAAAATGTTTCTGTTTGTAGGTTGGCTGCAAGAATTGCACACCGAATTGAAGAACTGAATAATTTACCAACTGTCATGGCTGAAGATTTGAAAATTAAAGCACAAATTGAGCTGCGTGCTCTGAGGTTGTTAAACTTCCAGCGACAATTGCGAACAGAGGCAAGTGTTTCAGGATATGAAATAACATGCAATTAAAGAAAATAAGACAGTTTTTGTGCATGCAAAAGTGGCTTTGAATGAAGAATTAACTACGTCTGGACGTAAAAATCGAAAGTACAGATAGTTTCAATCCTTTGTTTTGCAGCCTTATTATCATCTGTTTGCAGTGCAGGACACTGGCTAGTGGCAGCTTCTCTTGGTTAAGATAACACACTGCTTTACAATCTTATTGTAAAATGCTTGAAAATTGTTTTAAGGCCATTTTAATTATGTGATGTTAATTAGCTGCTGAAAATGGTGTCCATCATCCAAGCATCTTGCACACAGTTGTAAGAAATTCTGTGATTTCTGGAACATTTGGATTTTGATCTCTAAAGTTCTTATTGTGCATCTAGATAATTAAATGAATATTTAGGGAATAAGTTGGCATTTGTTATGTCAGTGTAAACATGCTGGTGCAATGATTAGTACACAATTTATGTCTGAATCATTGTATGTTTGTTCTTATGACAAAGTAGCTGTGAGCATTCTTTGCCATTTGCAGTATCCAGCCATAGTGAGTGTTAACAATGCACATACTTTGTTGAGAATTTTGAGTAAAACTAGAGCAGGGCGCTCCTTTCGGAGCTCTTAGGGGGTGTTGGTCAAGTTTGTAAAACGCAACCAACCTTGGTTAGTCCCGAAGAGGTGTTAGTTTAGTGTCTCATTCAAGTGTTTTAACCACAGAGTAAGAAACTAAATTAACCACAACGAATGGGGTGTTTAAACACTTGACCAACCCCCCGAAGTGAGTTTTTTGCGTTTTAAAATCTTGAGTAAGACGCTAAACTAACCCCCGTGTATAAACAAATATAAGGT